CATGGAAACAGAGCTAAGGTCTCTGTGACAATAACTAACAGCAGCACAGAGCGCTCTTACATGGTGACTGATAAATCCACATCCTCCTCTTAAAACCCACTGACAAGTCTTTTTTTTCCCCCTTGCTTGTACTAAGAAAGAACATAAGACCGTCAGGATCATACACAAAGACCCAAACACCACTAACTGATCACACGTTTGTTCCCAGAGGTCGATCCATAGCAACTCACTTCCAATAACGGCACGCAGGTCGGATTAGACTTCAAGCTACGACTGGTCGGGGAACAATGTGGATCTGTCATGTCTCTCTGCAAGAATTTATGACTACTTATTCTGAAGCAGTGACCCTCTTACAAGACAACAATATTGTGTGGTCTGAACCCGGCATTTGCTGCGGAGACAAAGATGAATAGAAACAGCGGTTCAAGTGAGTTAGACGTATTCAGTCTACTGCAGGCTGTGAAGCTCTGCTCACTACAGCACTAGGCTCAACGACACTAGGGATCTGCACTACACTGCACTCAGTGTGACACAAATAATAGTCTATAATCTACCTGTCGCACCTATAAACACAGCGACACATTGAGCTACTACTCAGAAAACGGGCATTTTGGTAGCTAAGTCAACTTTATTTACCTTCATTACCTAATATCCCGGCAGACAAGTGGAAAGATGACAAGCAGCATTAAAACAGAGATTAAAGTGGTTATAGAAAATCTTTTAAAAAGCTCAATTAAAATCCAAACATTCAGAACATTTTCTACCTGAGTGGGAAATTACCAACCACAGATGTAGGTGTGCTTTTTACCTTCACAACCCACGCTAGCAAGTAACCAAGTAAATATTTGAACATCCCATATTTCCGAATTCAAGTCCCATCAAGTTCAAAGTTACAATAGAAAAGGCTTTTTTATCAGGATGCACGTGAACAACCCCCCACTGTGGTTAGACGAGACATAGTAGACTGTAAAAAAAAAAAAAAGAAGTGAGTTCCCTTCTTTCTTCTGTTTTCCGGTAGTTGTCTCGTTAAATCCAAGAGGTCATTTGTGAACACTCTCCTTCCTGTCAGACTGACTGGAAGCAACAAAATGACTAGACTGACGAGCTATCACTACCCCAGACATGCTGTGACAGTGCAGCAGAGCATAAAGAAGTTCAGTCTGGACAGGCTGGTCTGAGCATGTCAGGACTGAAGAGAGGAAGGGACCCACAGAGGTGCCCTCAGAGCAAAACCTCATCCTATTGCCTCGGTGAAGCTGTTCCACTTTGAGCTGACTGATTTACGATGTTGTGTTGTTGTGTGTAGGATTAAAGTTGTCCTTGTAAACTATTTACAGAGACTCTTTTCTTTGCTAAAGAAATTGCGTATGTGTTTGTACCTTGTCCATCTTCAGTCTTTTCAGATAGGACGGGCTGTCGTAGCCTTTGGCCTGTCGTGCTTCCTGTAAGTGATTGATCATCCACACATTCTTCCTTTGCTTGGCGAGGTCCAGCGGTGTTTCACCCTAAAGAAAAAAAATTTAAAAAGATCGGCAATTTTACACATTTTCTTATCTAGAAAAATTTCTAAACCTTTCATCAGTATACGCGCTGGAAACCAAGCACTGAATTGCCTTGTTGAGGGCAAGAATGGCTGCTATAGGTTAACATGACTTCACTATTATTAGTACGTGTTAATCCGTGAAGAAGGTGCTACCTTGATGTTCTGTGCATCGACGTTAGCGTTGGCGTCCAGCAGCAGGCTGATGACTGTGGTGTTGCCAGCCAGCACGGCCCAGTGCAGCGCTGTGTTCTTGTGATATTTGTCGCCCAGGTTGACGGAGACGTTGAAGGTCAGGAGCAGCCGGGTGGGATCCACGCTGTCACATGGAGGAGGAATCCAAGTTAAGCTCTCATAAACATGTTTGTCACAATGCATGCTATTGAAGACCTCATTTACATACTCCTTCATCACCACGCTGCATCTCTCTGTCTGGCTGTTGATTAATGTGTCCAATTACTAAATTATAAGAAGAAATGATATCTCAGGAAAAACTGCTTATCAGAGAATATTCGTATGAAGCCGAGCAACGGCGTAGAGGCTTGTTTTCCTGTGTAAGCAGTCTGTCTGATATACGACGGCTCATTTAAACATGAAGAAGTTCTGTGTGAGGCTGCAGTCAGCAGAAACATGCTCGAGCTTGTACGTGGGTTTATTTCTCAGACATCAGACTCTTTAATTTAAGGTTTGCATCTATTCAGCCTTTATTTTAATCATGTCGTTGATATTTCTTGTCATGGCAGAACGAGCCAACTAGATACAGAAAGCTACAGCGGCAAGAAAGAAGTATGCAAACCCTTTGGAGCAACGTGGTTTTATGCATTAATAGATTGTAAAATGTGATTTGATCTTCTCCTAAGAATACAACAACACTTGATGTCTGAGCTAATAACTCAAAAATGATATTCTTTCATGTATTTTAATAAACGTCACTGAGTTGCTCATGGAACCCCTTCGATTTAAAAACTGGTGGAACCTCCTGTAGCAGCAATAACAAGTGTTTTTGAGTCTCTTGTGCATACTAAGAAGCCTGAAGATGGATATCGCATGACCATTCAGATACATGGGGCACGCAGTTGCTGGTAAAAAGTCTGGGGACGGGAGCTTGGTTGTAAAAAGAAATACTACAGAGGAAGAACAGCAACAGTAATTGCACAACAGCTGCAGGCAGAGAAAACAAGGTCAGCAACACCTGCAGCCTTTATTATCCATGCTGAATGAACCACTGGTAGTCAATGATTACATCTTAGGCGTTTTTTTTCCAGAGAACAGTCACATGACAGGAGGGTGACAGGAAACAAATATGGAAAAGAGGTGTCCAAATCATCATTTCCAAAAGTGTGTTTCTGTTCCTCCACACTCAAACAATACTGTGTTTTTATAAAACAGGGAGAGCAGAATTAAAAAAAACACTTCTATAGCTCTGGAGTAGTGTGGATGCTAGGCGTAGCATAAACGTAGCAGCAGTTATATGTTTCTGAACTACTATCAGGTTTGGGTCTGAGCTCTGATGGGGCCACTGCGGAGGAAGGATTCTCGTAGATGATTAGAGTCACTGTGCTGTTGCATCAACCGATTTGTTCAGCTAGACCAGGGGTTCTCAAACTGGGGGTCAGGACCCCCATGGGGGTCCCTAGATAATTTCAGGAGGTCGCCAGATCATTGTAAGTAAGTAAGTAAGTAAATAAATCCTACATTTATCAAATAAATGTGTATTAGGGCTGTCAAAATTAAAAGTGTATACTTCTTCCCACTCCTTTTTGACACTTGTTAATATTATGAATTGATTATGCCATATTATTATTCTCTATTCTTTTTAATACTTGTTTTTGAATTATTTTCTTTTGTTTTTATATATATATTTGTTTACCTTTCATTTGTTCGAAATAAATTCAATTCATTCATTCATTCAAAAGACAATTAACTTGTTAATGTAAAGAGATTAATCTGTGGAATTAACACATTCATTTTTAACATTAATGCATGAACAAAAAAGTTATTACTCATGATATATTAAAAATTCAAACTGGGGGGTCATGAACACACATTTATCTTATCTTGGGGGTCGTGGCTCAAAAAGTTTGCGTACCATTGAGCTAGGCAGCCTCCCTGACATTATCCTGACAGACAACTTGTGACTTCAGTCCAATTATTTGTGTGCAAGGAGGTCAAACAACTTGTGTTGGTGCGCAACTGTAAGAGAATCCTATCATTTTTAAGACTTCAGCCACTGTATTGTTCCTGTACTGTATGTGTGAACTGCCACACAGCGACTGTATAAACATACAGACCTGTGCGTCCTGTAGGCCGCCCACATCAGAGGAGTCATGCCGTTCTGATCCATCATGTCCACATCCTGTTAGAGAGGAAAGACAACACAACTGAAGAACCAGTGGAGCGGTGACAGGAGGAAAACAGAGGCGACACAGCTCCCCCTGATGGAGATCACTGGTACAAAAAGCTGTCAAAACGATGCTCAGTATTCCCAAGTGGATTAGAAAACCCACATGGCACAAACAGGATCATAAATCAGCTTTGGGGGGAAATGTGTTGCTATGTGTAAAACTCTATGTAAGCAACATTCTGCTGGACGGCACCAGACCAGAAAAGACCTCCGGTCAGAAGAGGACATTGAAAGCACCACTTATGTATTTATCCTAACAAATAAGCGTTTGTGTTTCCCACCTGTCCTTTGGCGATAAGGTAGGCCACGATGGAGGTGTGGCCGAACTGAGCGGCCAGATGCACGCAGCTGCAGCCCTCGCCATCGATCAAAGACGGGTCCGCGCCATATTTCATGAGCTGCACCACCATGGATAGATGGCCTTGTCTACGGGAGGATAAACGCACAGCAAACAAAAAAATGACAAAAGGTACAGGAACTCATCTTGAGGTCTTAATCTACAGCTACACAACCTGACACAGCTGGTAGCACAACATCAAGTGGAATTTTAGAGGTTTGAGGAGAAGAAGGCCAAAGCCGTTCTCACTCGATCTCGCACTTAGACGCTGAGTGGGTGACCCAGCTCAACTCAGCAGTTCAAAGATCAGCCTCTTGTACGCTCCTACTGCCATTAAACTGCTATAACACACATAAAGTGATGCGGCTTTGAGAGACTGTTCTCACCATTTTGTCTCCGTGGTGCAGCGAAGCGACCGGCTACATGAAGTACACTGGATTTTTAAACCGTGTTGTATTACTAACAGTGTCTACGATGTAAACTCCACTCCCAGAAGATAATAAAGATTTGAAAACATGCTGGTAAAAATGACAGAAATTCATTGCTGTAGTTTTATTTCGCTGTCTGAGTCGCTTTTACGACACCAGAACGTGACAGTTATTTGTTGAGAATAAACATGTGTGTGACTGTCTGGGCTGGGGGGTTTTAAAGGTCGCCGGTGGATGGTGGGGGTGACACAGGACTCCTGAGTGTCTGTGTAGTAGCGACGGTGCAGACGCCTGTTGTCAAACCCATCAATAATTCAGGAGGGGACAGCTTCATGCCCCCCTGTCTGCTAGGGTAAGAGGTGGGGGGTGATGGTGATCTCATGTGACCCTCTCAACAGTCCACAGCAAGTGGTCATTACAAAGAAAGGCCAGAAAAGCCCTCAAACTATCAAGTTAAGGTGGTGGGTGTGCTTGTGTAAATAAAAGGAGAGGATGATGGTGAATAGGCTTGAGATGGCAACATGTAGAACACGTAGCATTTAGCCCCCATTCAATGGAAATATTAAAGATTGCTTTTTGAAAAATCACAATAACGCTGATTCATCTGAGCAACAGGGCCTCCAGCGTGATCAGGTCTTTGTACCTGAAGCACTGCGTCTTTTCATGTTTTGCTCTCTAAAATTTTTCAGAGGCTTCACCAAGGTCTCGCTTTTTAACAAGGTTTTTATAAAGGTTTCTATCATTTAACGCCAAAGCTTTAATAACATAGTTGAGATGTAGACGTCCTGTGATTGGAGATGTGTTTGGAATGTGCACAAAGCTTTAATGAGAAGACATATTGCTGAAATAGTTCATAGGTTTATGGACTAATTAAAATAATGATTTAGTCATTGACATGAAAAGGTGGCACATGCACATTTAAAGAGATTACTACCACAAATAAAAGACACAAAAGAGGACAGAAGAATAAATCATGCCTGCATGTGTACTACAGGAGTGTATTGCTGCACGCAGCAGGGAAATTAATGAATCAGAATAAATATATGAAAGCAATACAGAATGACCCACAGACTTACTGCATCATATTCCATTATAACATGAAATATCACTTAGGGTCTGAATTTTGTGTTTTCCCTTAAAATAAAAAAAACACATCTAAAATATTCCAGGCATAAAAAGTCACCAGAAAGCTGTTTGATGCACAGTTTCCATGAGGAAATCACATCTAATGTTTCTGCTCCAAATATTCAAACATATACAACCTGTGGTTTAGACACAAGTTCATACATGTATGTTTATCAGGCTGAAGCTGGTGACATGGCTCTGGCTTTGGGCAAAAAGGCTTCATAAAGTTTTATAATCTTATATAAAACACAACAAAAGAGTTTTGTGGCCTCAATAAGACAAGACATGAAGATGCTGAATTAAGTCTCTGAGCTTCTGTTACTTTCTGTGATGAAGAGGCATGAAAAACACACACAATAATAATAATAATAATGACATTAAAAATATGAGAATCCTAAGGTCAGAAAGGCGGAGGCTCTGTGGATGAAGTGTGTGTGTGTGTGTGTGTGTGTGTGTGTGTGTACCTGGTGGCCCAGTGCAGAGGTGTGGAGTTGAGGTCTCCTCCCAGCTGATCAACTATGGCTCCCTTTGATATGTAGTACCTGCACACACACAAACACAATAATCACAACACTGAACAACTTTTATTCAACATAACTCGGTGTAACAACTAGGGTAAGGCGTTTCTTAAACATTTAATACCAAACAAAGTCCACCAGTTGCTCGGTGACCGGCTAATCTGAGTTGAGGCCAGACGATAATGAGCTGGTAAATCAGAGCACCTACACAAACGGTAGTGCTTTCACAATGAAAACAGATAAGATGACTACAAAGAGAAAACGGAGTCATAGACATGCCACTGCAGGAAATGCTACCATCTAAAACATTTTTCAAAATGTCTTCAGTGGACATATGAGCGAAGATTAGTTGTATATTATATAATTTTTTAGGCAGAAGTGGTAGACTTTATTTTTGATCATGACTATTGCTCGCACATGTCT